TTTTGATAATCAATACCCAACGGAATATTAATAGTTTGTCAAATGTTTAGTAATGATTATTATACTGTCTGCGGACTCTGCGAAATCTGCAGCTCGGTTTCAATTCGAAAATATCATCGATGATAATCATACCACTTGTTATATTTAGTGAGAAAATATAATGAATTTTAGGATTTACCGAGTTGTCAGTTTGACATTTGAAATTAAAATGTGCTTTAAAATATAAAAAAGACTTTAATAAACCTTATTTATTCAAACTTACCTTAATTTTATTATAGTTTACACCAACCCATCGATCTTTTAGAGTTTATAATTCATTATTTTAGTCATTTAACAAACACAGTATTTAAATGTCAACAAATGTCATATCAAGAAAAGTGTCAAAATCCTTAGCAACGTGTAAACAAGGTGATAATAGTATATTATTATACGAGCATATAATGAGGGCTATTATTCACGAAGGTTAAGTTTATGTCACGAGCGTAGCGAGTGGCATAATTAACCTGAGTGAATAATAGCTCATTATATGTGAGTAGAATACTATGCTTTGTCCACGACTACTATTGACTTTTAACGGATTTTAATGCAAAAAAATTTATATTTATTATAACCTATTTGACATTAACAAAACCAAAAATTAAAGATGCCTGTGACTATTTTTAAAACTATTTATTTATATTAATTGTAATATATATGAGTACCTTAGATGCAAAACTCGGTTTTTGCAAATTAAAAAATAAAATAAAATTGACTTTAAATTCTGTTTAGTGTTCGTCCTAGATAAATGGCGTTCATAAAACTTGATACATAATAATATTATATTATATATATTATTATGTATCAAGTTTTATAAACGCCATTTATCTAGGACGAACACCAAACAGAATTTAAAGCCAATTTTTTTTTTTTTTTTAATTTGCAAAAACCGAGTTTTGCATCTAATGTACTCATATATAAAATATACCAGTAAAACAGACTTTGCGAATGAATGAATTTTCTTGGTCGCTCTCCAGTCCATAAAGGTGTTGTACACAGATACGTACAAATTTTGGGATTTCTCAGGCAACAAATTCAGGGAAGTGACTTTTGCAGCTTCTGTTATCTCCGGTGGAGTACACAATATATCTTCTTCACTATCAATTTCCATTGTTAACGTATTTTTGAAAGCAAATTATAATTTTAACAGGAATTATTATTGCACCACCGCGTCGTTAAAATTTGACGTTTCAAATAATTATTAGTTGTCAGTTGATTACATGGCTTACTACCTACTCGATAATTCTATTATTTATAGATTATGCAGTATTTTATTTCCAATGAATGTGATTTTTTAGGTAATTCGTATTTCGAAAAGTGACTTCTGTGATGTTTTGTTGAGTGCGTAACATCTCTTCATCTTTCACGCTTTGATTTTTTATGTATAATTTAAGATTAATAATAATTTGTAACAAAAATCGTGTGCTGAATCGAAGTTATGACGTTTCAAATTGACAGCAATTTATGCTAAGCTTGTCATGTCATGTCAATGGCTTACTTACTTGAAATAGTCTACTTAATGTTACATTTTTATTCAATTGCATTAAAAAAACATATTAAAGTAATACTTTAACAAGACTTTTATGATTGGTATAAAGTTAGCTAATTAAAGTGCCTGGCTATAATTGCCTAGACGAACTTATAAGTGCTTGCCAGATACTATCTATATCGTGTGTCCTATAGGAACTCTAGACCAGTGAATAATGATTATTCACTGCTATTATTCACTCTGTGAAATATGACTATCATTTTGCTTTAGAAAACTCATTTATAAAGTATATATTATAAGGTAGTCGTGGATAAAAAATATTGTCGCTGTGATAAAATGCGTAACCATGGAATACTGGCATTTTAGTGGTTCTAATTATAATGAATTGTATTGTCTGTATAATATTACAAAATATGTTCTGGTTTTACAAATAAATTCACTTAAAATTCACTTTTCGGTGTATTAGATAAATTCTATTATTATATAAAAAAATTACGTAAATTATAATATTGAAAATGGTAAAAATCAGTAAAAATCGTAGTTAATTGAGATATCTGAGGTTTTTAAAAGCCAATAAAAACTAACATTATTTTTCATAACATGCAAAAATCATGTTTTAATCTCCGCTACCGCTACTGTTCATTTGTCACGTATTAGTTCCAGCTCATTAAGACCTAGTTAAAAGAAATCTGACACCAGTTAATAAAATTATAAATACAAAAAATAACGTCTGTACTTACACGATGAACATATGCAGCATATGCTATGCTTTAATTTACAATTGTCTAGCACGAGCTACGAACGCCTACGCGAAGTTTGTGTGGGCCACGGCACTTCTTTTTTTAATTTCGGATTATTAAATTGTTAACGCGGCACTCTATTATCACGCTCCTTATTAAATTATGACTTTTGGTATGTTTAGTCTATTGTTTTACCTACACAAGTTTGAAATGGTAAATTGTTATATTAATAATTGACAAACACAATTGCATGTATTTTGAGCAGTGCACTTTAGTGTAGGCATGGCCCCTGAGATTGCATTTTTTTTGTTTTGCTCCCACGTTCGACGGATAATGGACCCAGGTTTATTTTCAAATCAAATTAAAGTAATATTAAATTTTGTTTGTAAAAATAGAAAAAATATATTTTAAATATTTTTACCAAAATAGTTAAATAGCGGTTTATTAATAATAAAAAATCATGCTTATTTTATCTTAAGAATCATTTTAGCCATGGATAAACAACTTTGCTTTTTATTTTTATTTTGGTTAAACTGTTAATACTTTTCTTATTAATTAAAAACACAACAAAATTAAAAATGTATGAATTACAGTTTTCAATTATCATTTTTTAGATAATATTAAGTATTTGTCGTAGAAAAAGTATACTTTTTCTACGACATATACTTAATATTATCTAGAAATGATTTAAATTAAATATTGGTATACTATAATAGTATGCAACTCGTTTATAAACTTTTCTAGGCACTCATTTAATTAAGCACTCGCTCGCAAGCTTGCTCGTGCCTAAGTTAAATTTGTGACTAAAATGAATTTTATCAAACTTGATACATAATATACTATAATTAAACGATACATAAAACAAACTTACAATTATTATTATAATATTAATTATTAAAAGTATAAGTTTTTTTACAGACTAGGATGTAAAAAATTATTGTTACAACCTAAGAGATAATCGAATACTTTGGTAACCAGCGTTGACAATAATAAAGCTTATATTAAGAATGCTTAAAGATAAAAATATTAATACCTACAACTGTACTTTTATACATATATCAGAACCATTGGATTTGAATAAATCCGTCCGCAATATTAATACATTTTTAAAAATCTGCGAAATTGTCCAAAAGTTCATTGTTTATCGATAAGATATTTTCTTATTTTGTTTAGAAAAAAATATGTATTTTAGGTTTATTTTTATAAACAATGTTATCGGAAATATCAAACATTTTTTAGGTTTTACATGCTTTTCATAAATTTAATTTTTAGTAAACCTTATGGTTTGTTTAATATTATTGTGTAATTTAAAAATGTTTTAGAGACCCTATTCTATCTTTTGGACTCTTTATTGCAATTTAACCCAAAATCATTTTTTTCTTCATTTAACTTTTTGTGAAAGTGCCTATGCTTGCCGAAAGTTGTTAAATGAAAAATGTCTTTTTGACCAATTTTTTTAACTTATAAAGAGATCAAATTTCAAAAAACGTTTAAGTATTGGTAACTTATAAAGAGATCAAATTTCTAAATGCAAGATTTCGAAAAACGTGAAGTATTGGTAGCATATAAATTTAAAGATTGAAAATAATGACAATTTAGGTACATAACGTGGTTCTAAGAAAAAATATTTTTGCCATTCCCAGACCTTTCATACAAGACAATTTCATACCAAATTTTATTAAAATTCGTTAAGCCGTTAAAAATTAACATTATATTTATCTATAGATATAGGTATACACATTAAATTAGGGAAAATTTGGGAAACTCCTAAATTATAACCCAGGCGCATGCGCCATTTTTTAAAGTATTTATAAACGATGTGGCTCCCGTCCCGAGGCGGGACTTAAGTTCAGTCCCGATTGACGTCACACACTGTAAATCCGTTTTTATTCCCCGAGATTTTATAATTTGTGTCAAGCTCGATGGCTTAGATGGTAGGGCGGTCGCTTGGCATGCGAGAGGTACCGGGTTCGATCCCACTAGAAATTGTCAAACTTTTTTTATTTTTTTTATTTTATAAATTTGTTGTTTCTTTGTTAAAAAGTGTTTTATTTTTATCGTAACATAAATTTGCCCATTTTAGTTGGGTTTTTTGCTCAATGGGGCGGGGGGCCCAATGGGGCGGGGTCGGTTGGGTTGTGTTGTTGAGTTTGGGTTGGTTTGGTTTTATGACGTAACTTAAGTGCCCTTAACATGTATACAGGTACAATTTATTATTATTATTATTTTATTATAACATAACAAATCTTAAAATTATGACGTCAATCGGGACTGAACTTAAGTCCCGCCTCGGGACGGGAGCCACAGCGATTTATAAATACTTAAAAAAATGGCGCATGCGCATGGGTTATAATTTAGGAGTTTCCCAAATTTTCCCTAATTTAATGTGTATACCTATATCTATAGATAAATATAATATTAATTTTTAGAGGGTTTTAGCATAGTTTTAGGTAAATTGGAAATGGTTATAAAACCGATAAATTCTTATGTAAATTACCATTTACAAAAAACGATGTTTTTAAGTATTAATTTTCAATGCATTAGCATATTTAGCGCTGAAGTTTTTTCGATTTACAGTTTTAATGGTCAAAACAAAACTAAAAACGATGGTACTTGGAAATTAAATAAAATCAATTTTCTTCTTAGCAATTACGTGTTTCCGCGTAAAACGTTTTCTAGTTTAACTTGAGGCATTTCAAATTGAAGGCAAGTTGCTAATAATTTTTTTTTTTTAGGAGATTAGTCAAAACCTACCAACCTAAGAAAAAGGACGAAGAAGAATACCAGTAAGTAAAATTTTGTACTTTAATAACTAAAGTTACTCAATTCGTGTAATTTGTCATTATTTTAATAGAGTTATCTAATTACATATGAATATAACGTAACTTTAACCCAGTTATATTCCCTAGTATTTTACCATTCAAAATCATACGTTTCTTATAGAAAGCGCTAAAAAACTTAGTCATTTTTAAAGTTATATTCGAACGATTTACTGAATAATTTTTAAGTTTTTTCTTTTATAACTGTTTAATTAATTTCACCGGTATACTTAAACATTTTAATTAGGCATGTCAATTCAATTAAAAAACCTAGTATAGAATACTAGTGTCTTTGTTAAGTAGGTCGGATCTTGTAAACAAAAACACTTTTTGCAAATATTTACATTATTTTGATTAATATTTGTATTTCGTATAATAATACAATATTAATAATAATACCAAAGGGCGAAAGTCGATTGCCTTTTTTTAAATAAAGAACCTGTATATTATTATTATAATTATTATAATAATAATTATTATTAATAATAGGCAAGTAATAATCATTTTTTACTTCTATTCATATTATTTACATTATTTGTTTTTTTTTAATGGTAACCATTACCGCCCATTAACATTACCAATGGTAACCATTACCGCTCTGCCTGACAACGGGAATAATAAACTCATTATTCACGTTAATAGGCATCAGTAGAGATGTAAAAAATCGCTTTTTTCAAATGAAAAAAAATACATGAAAAAAACTACAATAAAGAATATTCTGTCAATATTTAACATTCTTATCTACTCCAATCCCGTTTTACACGTATGTAAATAATTCAGTCCAATTGGAAGCTCTTAAAAATAATTTAAGGATCTTAAAAAGTACTTTAATCACAAAAATAATTAATTTATTTAAATTTTGATATTTATTAAATGTTTAAAAAAACACAAACATTGCTTGAAGAATGTACCAGTAGATAAAATTATCCCTATAAGTAATAATAATATATGTATTTATTGATTATAATTATAATAAATACAATCCACTTAACCCTTTCCATTATTTATGCAATAGCTTCGGAAATCGAGTGATTGTTCTGAGGTATATTAGCATTTTATCTGCGCATTTATTTAATTTAATTGTATAAACAGCTAATCAAAACATATTTATACTTTAAATTAAACTAATTATACTTATCGGTCATTTTAAATTCCTTATAATGTTTTATTTATATTTTATTATTTAGCTTAAAATTTTCGTAAGTAATATCATAAGGGCATCTAATTTTTCCGAAAAAAAATCGAAAAAACACGTTGCTAAGTAATATTTTAACAAAAAGCATGAGTGCTGGTGGCAACAAAAATCCGAGTCGAAGAGGAGGATTTTTGCACCTGCACGAATGCATTTTGTTAAAAAATATAACTTAGCATTGTGTTTTTTCGATTTTTTTCACAGGAAAAGTTAGATGCCCGAATGGTATTTGACAAGACTATTTCATGAGTAACAGTTAACAATTAAAATATAAATTGCAATTTTTGGTGACAACAGCTGTCAAGTTTTGCCGCGGGTAAACTCGAAAAAACTGCTGACAGGTGCTGTCCCACAGTTTTTTCACCTAGAAACCATTTGTAATCCAAAATTGCGCGTTTGTGATTGGTGGAAATTAAGACGAGGGAAATAGTCGGCTATAATACCACAAGAGCTTTAAATTTATCGGTTAATTGTTGTTGCATAGAGACGGGAGAAGAGTGTCAATTTGACAAAAATTGCGGGCTGGAGGGATTTTATTTTCAAATTGACACGATTCGACGTCACTATGCAGGAATAAAGAGGCAATTAACCGATTTTAATTTAAAGCTCGAATGGTATTTATAAGATTATTTTAAAAGCTATATCTTCAAAAGGATTTATGGCTCTATGAAACTCTTTGTACAATTTTTCCTATAGAAATTTTGCGGTAACATTCCATATTGTCTTAATTACTCCTTCTTTATGTACCGTTTATTTTTTTCATATTAAATGCCCAATCCAGTAATATTTTAGCCAATTCACCTTCAGACATGTTTTCCAGAATTTGGTAATTGTTTAATTTACAAAACTCTTCAAATTGTCGCCATATGGATGCTTGGCTTTCCGTGGTGTTAATTGGCCGATTATCCTTCACCGCCTGGTCGATATCTTGTAACTGTATAGCCCCAAAGCGACTCATTTTGGAATGAAATTCACGATATTCACTTAAACATCAAATCAATATTTTGACATATTATGTTAATTAATAAACTTAGCGACGAAACAATTAAAATCAACATGAAAAAATTATCGAATTATCGCTGTAATTCGCTGTAGGTTCCCTCAACAACAATGCCTCAACAATGTCCCAACAATACAGAGAACTGTCAAAAAAAAAATCTTTACAATAAAGAATTAAGTGTCAACTAATAATTAAAAAAGAAAAATTGCTTTCAAGAAAATCCATGGTAACAATTTAATGAAATACGTGTTTCTAAAAAGCAAAACTATTTTAAGACAGATGTGTGCTCGTTTTAAGTATGATTTCATCTTTATTAGCCGGTTTTATTACAAGAACCGCGTTTTCTCTATTTATGGAAAGCATTTTTCTTAGATGAAATAAAAAATTAATAGGTATTTAACATCACAGAACATACAACAATGGTCTGCATATTACCAAATCAAATCAATTTGAATTTCATCAGTCAGTTCTCATGGTTTAATTATATGTCATATTTGGCAAAATGATTATACAATAATAGTTATTATAAAAGTGTAATTATTAGTTAAATATGCCAAATAATAAACTGCTACTAATTTTTTATTTAAAATGGCCAAATATAATATAGGCAGTACTTTTTATTATGTCAGAAAATAAAATTTTACACTTTGACATATGGGTCATTATACTTTTTAGTCCCATCTACCTCTAAAAAATAAATATTTGACATTTTCATTGTGACTATTTAAAATTTCGCCATTTTAGGCTTTTAGACAAAAACAAAGGGGTGTCAAACGCTTTATTTTTTTCAGTTTAGGATTAATTTCAAGGTCCCAAACAAATGCCTAAAATAGAAACAAAAAGGCATTTTGCCTAAAATCCGGTCCTTGATGATAATCTGAAATTTGCAATATTTACTTCCATGGTGCCAAACTCTAACTTGCATAATTAATTGATAGTTTGAAACCTTGCAGAATTAGTCGACCTTTCATTGTTTATAAAAAATAACAACACAAAAACAGTTTTATGCAAGCGTGTATTTCACTCTAATTTTATTGCCTCATGCATAATTAATAAATTATTATTTATTTTTATGAAATGAGCTTTCTTCATACTTTTTTACTAATTACGAGTTCACTAACATCAAAATGAATGAATTAAAGAGGAGGCTTTTACATACACGATGTAAATTAATTGGATGATGTAATCTTTTGTTGGGCGGTTTATTATTAAGTGTAGTACTGTAAATAAGAAATTATACTTTTAAGGTTAATTCAAATATTAAACTTGACTGTGTGCAATACCAATTTTAGTCAGAGACTCGATAAATTTGCTGCATTATTTACAGCTAGTTAACTCGACTCCTATGGTACATATGTAAATTATAAACTTATTTCAATATTAGAACAAGTTTTTCTTGTGCATTAATGTTCCAGTTCATATTTTATTTTTTTATTTGTAAGGCGCACCTACAAATATACAACCTATTGAAATATTATATTGGTAAAATGTCGTATTAATTTTAAAGCAACTAATTAGATAATGAGTAGATCTTCTATAGAGTTATTCATTTAATAATATTATTGTAAATGTTTTTAAAATTAAAATAAATGTACCCACTAAAAACCTTCACTTTAAATTTGGATTGATCTTTTGTGTAATATACAGTGTGTCACAAACTTACCCGAACAAGCGAAAGGTCGACCCCCTTCCTAGAAAAATCTAAGACTAAATTTCCTTAACCTTTTTCCGAAGAACTATTTTGCTAGCTATAGTGTAAAATAAATATACCTATAAATAAATAAAATAAATAAATCAGGTCCGAAATAATAATAAAAAAAAATGTACCTACTTTAAATGAAATGAATTGTAATTTTGTTCAATAAATTATTTATTCACGCAAAAAATCAATATTATGCAATAGGAGTAGATAAAAATATTATGCTTAAAATAATGTCTATGAATATGTAATATGTAATACCTATTATGTATACTTTAATAAAATTAAAACACATTTTTTTATTTTTCTTGATTCTTATCGTTACTGAAAAACATTTACGATTTTTATTATTATTTGCTTAACTTTTATCCAATTAACAAATTTAATAATTATAATTTGAAATACCCACACAGAAAAAAATCTAACATAGTACCAATAACAGCGCTGTCATTGAATGCATTAAAATTGAAGCAATCTTAATTGTTTTTTGCTCAATTAATTACTATTAAACCAAAATAGGGAAATATTTTGCCTGAATGTCAAAGAATTTATTGCGTTAAATGTATACATAGTATATATACAATAGTAACGTTATTAAATAAATCAAATTAGTATTTAATGCAATAACATTCTAACATTCTAACAAATAAATATCAATATGAATATCAATAAATTTAGGAGCGATAACTTTTGTTGTTAATTTAAAAACAGTAAACGATTATAAATCAAGTGCTAACTACCTATTGGTATTATAGGAACTGTTATTCAGGAATACGGATTACAAGATCCCATTGGTTTAATGGCTCACCCATTCATGCTATGCTAGCGTTTTTCTGTGCACATAAGATGATTTTTTATTTTATTTTTTTATTATCCATAAATAAACGATGAAATCTTAACAATCAAAGTGCCTTGCGAATAAATGTCGCCGCCGTTTTCTCTTTACTTTATTATTGTATTGTTCTGTTGTTGATGCTTTAATGTTTTTGAATCAATTAACGTCAATAAATAAACAAAAGTATTTTAACGGTTGTTAATACTTTTATCATGTTTGATTTATTTTTAGTGTAGGAATGACAATTTTTATTTGGTACAGAAAAATAATAAAGCAGAGAATATTTTATAAAATTTTTCACTGAAGTGGTAGGCCTAAAAGGTATATCATTATAATTATTTAAATATTTTTTTGCAAATATTATTTTTCGAATATTTATTCTTGTTTAGTTTATGTACAGGTTTTTACAATCATCGTTACTTTCCAAAAAATCAATAAAAACTTATTGACACATTTGACGTGGTTATATTATATTATATTATACATTACCCAAGCAACAATTTAAGTATTTGTTACGTATATGGGACTATTGAAGAAACTTAAAGTGTTTTGCGACAGTCGCCGGTCTCTTTATACCTATTACTCTTTTTTTACTAAGTTACGACCAAGTGGGGAACAATTATTGAGTCCCAAAAAGGTAGCAAATATGTCACTAGCTATAATCCCTGCTACGTAGCTACGTAGCTGCTACGTTACTAGAACGTTTCAATATCGTTGCTAGAGCGTTATAATTACTTTTATTTATTTGTTTTTCTATATTAACTGTCAAACTTATATTAGATTGTACTATCCTTCCTTTTTTAAATGGAACCACTAGGGACTTGGCTTTTCAATGTCGTCGTTTATTAAATATGTAGGTACTGGTAGTTTATAACTTCCAGAATAACAATATAATGTTTAATTAGGCAGGTAAATTTATAAACCCTTTAAATTTTACTGTTGAACTTATGAATTTAGTTTTTGTAAATGTTAATTAATAAAATAATCTTAATATTTATTATTATTTTTTCATTTAATTATTTATACCGCCTATTACCAACAAAATCACTATTTATTAAAAAGTAAACCACCATTTACAAACAATTAAAATAATTTATTATTTACATTACCACCTGGTAAAAAATGGCCGATAAGAAGCATTTTCCTTTGAAGTAGTTTTCGCTACTTTAAAGTTTTTTTCCACCTTACTTTACTTTACGGTAGTTTTGGTTAGTACCATAAACGTTCCAAATACTAAAAAAGTTATTAACTTTGTAGTTTTTAACTCATGTTCCAGTTTCGAGATTTTAACTTGCAAAGGGACTACAAAGTAAAATAATTATAATGTAATATTTAGCTAGAAACCGAAAGTAACTGCTGGGGCATTCCACGTTACTCGGTAATTTTTGTCCCGCCCGTCACAATTAAAAATTGTGAGTAAAAGCCACAAGTTATTAAATTTATATTTTATAATATTATTTTTATTGTGCTTATAACTTATTAAAAGCATAATAAACCATATTTTAAAGTAAATTTTATAACGTGTAGTTTTAACTCACAATTTTTAATTGTGACGGGCGGGACAAAATTCCCCGAGTAACGTGGAATGACCCTGCTACAAATTAAATTTACTTGAAAGTTTTACTTATAACACCTTTTTTAAAGTTGCAAAGTCTTCTTGGGGGCAACCAAGTTTTACTTAAATGTTTATTACTTTATAGTAACCATTTAAGGTTTTTTAAGTAAAAATTAAAGAAGCTGTTTAGTATACTTAACTAATTTAAAGTTATCACCACTTTGGTAATGGTTTTTGGAACCAAAAATGCTGCTTGGGTATAATATTATATAATATATTATAATAATTATAATTATAATAATAATATTGAGTATGAGTATGAGTATGGGAACGTATGGCAAGCCCCAGATATATTGTCATCCACTGATCTCCCGGGGTTATATTACCCCTTTCCGTTCTCCTGCGTATCCCGCCAAATCACAGCATTACCTGTGTTTGTTGGATCCGAAGTTTTTACGCCGGCTGGTAGATCCACCCTAGGAGTTCGTGGATGACAGTGTCAAAGGTTAAGGCAGCTCCCGGGATTTTTGTCAGCCGGGTCGGGCCATACGTCCAGTTTAGGAAGGGCTTTTGGAGGACATTGAACTGACCCAAAACTAAGTACAATCCGGAATCCTCCTAAACCAGGGCTTTAGTAATAACCCCATTCATTTGGTATTCCTGAATGGGGGTGGGTGGATTAGTATGCTGCTAGCGCCTTTTCTTGATGGTGTACTTCTTGATAGCCGCTTTAGAATTGTTTGCCCCCCTGTGCGTTATTGAGTCGTATCTTCCGAACCGAAGTGTTGCCGGCCGCACCCCGCCGTAATATTGCCCTCTGACTATGTGGAAATACGTTTAACCTACTGGAATTGTCGACCCTCGAATTATTTTTTTTCCCACTGTGCATGATCCCAGTGATTCTTAGAACGCTTTACTTAATTTATGAACCCTTACGTCTTGGTAATCTATAGATGTAAACATAAATAAATAAATTTTTTAGGATGGTTTCTTTTGCTTAATGTTTATCGTAACTTGAGTGATTAATGGCTTCTTATGTGCCCTTGGGTTTATGGTTTTTTTTTCTGTTTCATTTGCATGAGAATCTTGGAAATTGTTTGCTACTAATTAATTTACCTGAAGAATTATTGTTAGTTAAAGGTTGTGAATTTCGTATTAACTAGTAATAATATTATGGGTGGACATGGTCATGCAATTTGGTAGCTACTTATCTAGTTTATGCAGACTTGGGACTTCGGGATATTTGCCATGCTGATGTGCTTAGATTGATCCTTATCGCATGCCGCACGCACGTGTGGTAGCCCAGGAAATTTTCATTGGAACTGATTGTCTCTCTCACACCTTTTAACCAGGTCAAACACTTGAGGACTTAGTCCAGGGGGAGGTACCACACACAATTTGCACTCATATGCACTTGGGACAGTTATCACTTGTAGAATCGATATTGATTTATTTTTATTTTACGGCGTTAACCAGTTATCCCGTGTAAAATCGATATTGATTCGATATTTTTTTATTTTACGGCGCACTTTTCGCGTTTGTTCTACTTTTTGCACTTGTTTGTTTATTTATTAATTTATTACCGATTACCGGTATTTCCGCATACTTAGATTCGCTTTTGATACTTTAATACGTTTGTTTCGTATACGCTGCTTAGGAGATGTCTTTGAACGTCCTTACACTTCAACAGTCAAGACGCGATAATTATAATAATAATATTATATAATATATTATATATAATATATTATACATAATATATTATACATAATATATTATACATTATATACATTTCTTAACTAAGTGTTAAACCAAATTATAAGGATTTTTTAAGCTTCGTTGAAATTAAAACATTGTACACTTTTACATCCAGTTTTACGAAAATTCTAAAATCTTATTTTATTTAATTTTATTTCTTTATTTTTTTCGTAATTTTTTATATTTATTTTTTAGATACACACCATGTAAGGCGTTTAAAGCATTAATGCACGAAGTCAACGATTTAGCAGGTCAGCATGAAGTGGTAGCTGAAGACCTACAGGCAAAAGTTATTAGGGAGTTGTCAGTGTTAGTAAAGGACCTTAGAGAGGAAAGAAAGGTAATAATAAATAACGAGAATTAATGTAATGTTATAAATGATTTTTTTTTAGAAACAACTTCAAGAAGGCCACAGGTTATCTCAATCATTACAAATACAGATAGAAAATTTGCACAGAGCAAAAAAGGCTTACGATAAAGCGTTTAAAGATTCGGAAAAGGCACTGGAAAGCTTCCAAAAGGCTGATGCAGATCTTAACTTATCTAGAGCAGAGGTAATCAGCTTAAAAAATATCAAGGATTAAATAATAAAACAAGTTCTTTTTAATAAACTTGACACACAATAATCAAAAAAACATTGTGACGGCTCTTGGACATACTATGCAGACAATGCACAAAAATGCATGTCAGTTATAAATACATCGTTTAATCATGAGCAACTTCCTTATTTTTGATCCTATGTATATTTATTTCATAGTTCATATATATTTTTAAATAAGCTGTGTCAAAGAAATAATACAATACAATCTCGTTCTTATTTTTGTTCGTAATTAAAGGCAAAATTTTCTTTTGTAAAATGACATAAAATATTGCCTATGATTCCTAAAAAATATTAAGAATTAACCTCATACAGGGTGCACCAAGTATACTTCTATAATAAAAAATATACCCATACATATATGTATGGGTATATTTTTTATTTGAAAACCTACAAGGTGTGTTAAATTAAAAAACTTGCAAAGTTTATTAAAATGGCATTTAAAAATTGCGGTTCTTAAATAATTTGAAAAAAATATAAACCTGTCAAAACCAAAAATCGTTACTTATAACTTATAGCAAATTGGTTATTCCTGTGAATTTTGAAAAAAAATTAGTTTCACATGTAAACACACACATTTTCATACTACTAGTTTTTAAGTGAGCATCAAAATCTTTTGTTTTTCCTATGGCCGCCATATTGAAATTTTACATTGTTGTGTAGAAAAAACAAGGAACCCAACGATGTATCAAACTTACTACATAAGTTATGATGGCTATCATAAAAACAGAAGATAAACAGATAATTTAAAATATAGTTGCAAATAAATTGGATGTGTTTGTTTAGTTAAAACGCGTTTTGGTTTTGACCGCTTTTTATTTTTTTTTTCAAATATTTTGAGAACCGCTATTTCATTAAAATTTATTAATTTTATAATTGCAATATTTTAAATACAAGGTGGCCCTAAACTTAGTGGCATAAATTTAGGAGCAAGTCAAAATATGACGAAAATCTAAATAAATATTTTTCCTCATTACGTATGTTTAAAAGATACAGGGTGATAAAGTGTTACTTATCATATCAGTTTTTCTGCTGTGGAAAGGTGATATTTTGCGAACAGTCACTTAGTACCAAAACACATATTCACACATAATTACAATTGTTCGAGTGAACACAGTGTCGTAGAAACAGGGGTTGGTTAAGCTTATTGTCCCATACAAATTTTGAGGTTAGGTTTTTATACCATTTGATGCATTTTTTCGATTACTCAGTTCGGCTACTATTAAAAAGGTGGACCTTTCAAACTTCGATAAAATAAACCGTTTCCGAGATATTCGAGATAACAATAATTGTTATAAAAAAATTTCTTATCATATCCCTTTTAATCCTTTTAAATAATGTGATATAACAATTATTTTAATCTCGAATATCTCGGAAACGGTTTATTTTATCGAAGTTTGAGAGGTACACCTTTTTAATGGTAGCCAAACTGTGTAATCTAAAAATTGCATAAAATGTTATAAAAACCTAACCTCAAAGTTTGCATTGGACAATAAGCTTAAAGCAACCCCCGTTTCTACGACACTGTGTTCACTCAAACAATTATAATTATGTGTGAATATGTGTTTTGGTAGTAAGTGACTGTTCGCAAAATATCACCTTTCCAAGTCTACCACAGTAGAAGTTATATTAAAAAAACTGATATGATAAGTAACACTTTATCACCCTGTATCTTGGAAACATAAGTAATTAGGAAAAATATTTATTTGGGTTTTCGTCTTATTTTGACTTGCTCAATCTTTTTCTAGATTTATGCCAATAAGTTTAGGGACACCTTGCAGTGGTGGCTCGTGGGTGTACAGGAGGGTGAGGCTACATAAGGTTAATTTTGTCTAAATACGAATAAATTTCCACGTCACCCGGGAGGTATTATTCTGCGACGCGTTGACCTTTTTTAAAATGGAGCCGATAGCACTACTAAACCAAAAAATAAACTCTAAACAAAACAAACAAAATATCACATCAAAGACTAGTTTTAATCTTAAACTTAAAAATATAGTCTTAAAAAAGTTAAAAATAAATAAATTGATCAAAAAATAAAAATAAAACTAAAAAGTCGACCCCTACCTAAGTATTAAAAAATATAAAATACTATACGTCTATCTTTTAAGATTGAAAACTTATCTATTATTTGGTCGTAAAATTGTGGGTCTGCAGTGAGATTTAAAAGTAATTCTAAATTTTCAAACCGCGTCTCTAATTGAAGAATTATGCAATCTATTATTTCAAAATATAAAATTTGCTAGACTAGTTTTAATCTTAAACTTAAAAATATAGTCTTAAAAAAGTTAAAAATAAAAACACTTGTAATAGGCAAAAATATAAATACAAAAAGTCGTTCGTTCCTTCATTTTAAGGGTGAGGCGCGGCCTAAGAGGCCTACCCTGACGAGCCGCCACTGACACCTTGTATAACCGACCTCTACAAATAAAAATGTAGAAGGATACTTGGTATACTTAATTTTGTATTAGAATAGATACACAATGTAACTACATTTTTTATATTACGTTAGTAAAAACCCTTTTTTCTTATAAAGATAATTCTTACCTTCTAAATCAGATGTACTATCAACTTGTACTTTATTAATAACACTGTGCTCGAATCGAAAATGGCTTCTGGGTGGTTAATGTATTTGGGGCATGCTAAATTCAGTGGTGAAATCCGTTTTTCTAAGTTAGGTCATTTTTTCGAGATATTTAAATTTAAAGATTTGACATAAGAGTACATAAAATTGCTATGGGGGGAATTCGATCAAATATCCATTTTTCTTTTAAATATACACTGTATAAGACTTTTTTATGATTTTTCGATTTTTTTTAATAAATAACATTTTTTCCCACCTTAAAACAGTTTTTATTTAATTATATTTGTTTAACACACATCCTACATCGTCTTCCATTTGTAAGTTCCAACAAATGTCCCCTAGAAGAGAGTCCAGTCGCTTTCCACTGTACCAATGTTCGAGCCTTGCCGTCACTTGGTGAAAACGCTCGCCGTGCTCGTCTGATTCCGCTGGTGATTGTTGAGCGAATTTTTCAATGTGAGCATGTAAAAAATGTATTTTCAAGGACATTCTAACATTGATACGGTGGAAAGCAGTAAGCATTTCTTCTATGTGGTCGCGCCAATCTTCGGATCGATGAATCCCCAGAACATTCTCAATGACCACTTTAATGGAAGCCCAAGCCACACGCTCTTCAACACTGAGGAAATCTTCAAATTGTTTGTCCTTCATCAAACGACGAATATCAGGACCGTTTAGAATACCTGCGATAAAAGCAATATATAGAATAATCATATAGATTAGAACTGATTTAAACACAAACCTTCTTTTATCTTCATACCACTTAACCGTGGAAATATTCTACCCAATTCGTTGAATGCATTTCCTTCCGGATTTAAAACTTTTATAAAATTCTTTACAACTCCTAGTTTTATATGCAAAGGTGGAAGCAAGATTTTTTCGATCGGTACAAGGGGAGTTTCAACAATATTATGTTGACGCAATCGAAATTCTTCGCGGAGAGACCAATTTCGTTCGGTGTATTGATCACCAGCAAAACGGGTATCCCACAAACAAATGAAACACATATTTTTTGTATATCCAGTTTGCATCCCTCTTAAAAGAGATATTACTTTTAAATCTGCACACATTTTCCATCTATCGTCGTTGTATTTTACTGCATCGATGATTTTCTTTAATGATAAATAGTTCTCTTTGGTGTTAGTGCTGAGTGCTATTGGAATGGAATTTTTCAAATTAGTGTCATGGAGGAGAACTGCCTTTAAACTGCTTTTGGAGGAATCAATAAACAATCTCCAATCTTCGGGTTTATATTCATTTTGCAATGTTAAAATCAAGCCGCGGATATTATGGCAAAATGCAAAAGAATTATTCTCACTTGTTTGAAAAAAAGTTATAAAACTACTTTGTCGACCGTATGCCCCATAAACTCGAACCTCTGGTGCTAAAATATTAGCCTGTTTTAATTCTTTAGCTAAAAGAATTGACTGTCTTTGCGACAACTTGAGACGGCGTGTCATAATATCCAGACGGTTTTGAGAAATTTCGATGTGATTGCATCCTGCAGCGACATTGGATGGTTCATACACTGATCCAGATGATTCTCCAACCGTTTCACATGTTACGGATACTTGTTCTGTTGGGCATAATCTTTTTGGAATCGGAATGTGTTCAGAATGCGGCAACGGTAACTGAGCAAATTTTGTTGGTTTGTATAGCAAACTACGTGCTTTGTTACGATTTGTTCCGAAAACATAATTGACACACGCGTAACATTGATTTGCATCATGTAAATCGAAATTCATTCATATCATTGGAACTCCAAAAGGCATACAGTCGATTTCTCCCTTTGCCCATTGATTTAACTTTAATAAGCATCCAGTACAAACTATTGACGGGGCCCAGTCTACATTATAAACAACACTTTGATCAAAGTATTGACGATACACTTCAGCGACATCCGGAGTAATTTTGCGCCGACTAGTTATAATAACATACCTTCCGCAAATATAACAAAAAGTATTGAACGCTTTACAACTGTTCATTGTGATATTTTATACCAAAAAATTTCAAAATCGGATAAAAATTGGTAAATAACGAGCATATAGCACCGAACCGCACATAAACAGTATAACAGTACAAGCATTCCGCCTGATGTTTATATTGTTTATACTGCAGTATAAACAATATAAACATTAAGCGGAATGTAAAAAAGTCCTCTTTTTAAAGTAAAGGTATTTACAATAAATTCTTTCATTTGAAATTTTATTTAAATACATTTAAAACAGTTTTAATGTTCAAATTGTTATTTAGGCAAAATAATACGAAAATTAGGGGTACTTAGCAAAACTATATTTTTTTTAAATAAAATATGACATCTATATTTTATTCTATTTTTGTAAAATAAGAATATACGATTAAATTGCACCAACGTTAGTTCAATAAAAGATTAACATTTAAGCGAATTGGAGCACTTAACGTCAAATGTTTAACATAAAATATTTCGAAAAAATGACCTAACTTTAAAAAATGGATTTTACCACTGAATTTAGAACACACCAAATATGTTAAATACCCAGGTCCCATTTTTGTTAGATTTTTCAACTAGCACAGTGTAATTAATAAAGTACAAGTACAATTATTGTTAAATTATTTTTAGGTTGAAAAACAACGATCAAACTTGTCGCACAAATCGCAAACTTGCGAGTACGCGAAAAACGAGTACGCCGTGCAGCTGCAACGGACAAACGAACTGCAACGCGAGCATTTCCGAACAGGTTTGCCCGAGGTGTTCCGATCCTTGCAGGAGCTCGACGAAAAACGGATAAAGAACATCAAGAATTTCATACAAAGTTCCGTGGTCATCGAACGAAACGTTTTTCCAATCATCAACAAGTGTCTCGATGGTATACTTAAAGCTGCCGATATAATCAACGAAAAAGAGGTAAAAAACTTAATCATATTAAATAATAATAGATAGATACATTAATACATAGATGGGTACCACTTTTTTATATTCATATAGGTAGTGCGAATTTTTCCTACATTTTTTTTAATTTTGAAGTAGTGTACGAATTTGTCCTATAATTTTTTAAGTTTAATTTTGTTAGAAAATTTCAATACTACACAGACATGACATGTGAGCGCGCTGTTTTCGTTTAATCTTTTGTAACGCCAAAGAAGTTTCACTCCAAAATATCACATCAATTTATTTTGAAAAAATATTTTTATTGCCTTTCACGCTAGAAACATTTATTTTTGCTAATAATAGTTTGATAAAAATGAATTATTCCTACAAAACATTTTTATTTTTAGGATACGATGTTGGTAATAGAACGGTATAAGTCCGGTTTTGTGCCGCCTGAAGATTTTCCCTTCGAGGACCTATCGAAAGGAATAAGTGATACCGGTAGTGCTACCAATATAAATAATATAGCGCATAGTGGTAAATTGAAGGATGGTGGTTACACGGTGAAAGGAACAATAACTGGAAAGGCCTTGAAGAAACGCGTCGGTATTTTCCAGATTTTCGGAAGTCGAGGGGTATGTAGAATGTTTATTATGTTTGTTTTTAATAATACAGTTAATTAATTAATTGTTTCGACTTTTACTTGATGAAACTCCATGTTAATATTGTTTTATTTTAATATAAACTACACTGTTTAAAAGTTTCACTATTTTAAAATAGTGAAACTTTTAAACAGTGTAGTTTATATTAAAATAAAACAATATAAACAGTTAATTGTTTTTATTTCCACTAAACGTAACTATCAACTTATTTATTAAAATGCCTGTGGCTATCAGCCAAGGTTGTAATTAAATTAAAACGTCTATTTATTACATTTATTAAAGTTATTTGCCCCACACTCACTTGGAACTGAGACATTATGTGCTCAAAAAAATTAAACAAAGTAAGCTATTGTTACACTAGTTTAACAATAAAAATATTGTTCCACTAGTGGGACAATGAAAAAAAAAAGAAACCAATAACTAGAAACAATAAATTACAGCTATTTTTTACATACAATATGATATAATTTTTAATATTGTTTACATATTTTGAACAAAATTTTACTCCTATTTCTCTTAATAAATGATTTTTTTTTTAATAAAGGAAAAATAATTTAATAAAGCATTTACAGAAGGTTTTTATACCATCATTAGCATGGTGTGGACTGTAAAAAGTTTGGTAGTCTTGTCTAGAAAAACATTTTTTAAATTATTATCGTAAAAATTAGTAGACGAATGGTTTTCCGATTGAAAATCGCACACACTTATTATTATTATTATTCGCATTGTGTAACACTTTTTTTAATCTTTTCCTACCTATGGTTTTTGAATACCCGGATTCCTATGGGCATTTGGTACTGTATTTTTTCCTAGTAAGTAATATTATCTTCTTGAAATTTCACTGGCATGTTTTTTGAATATTGTGTCTGTCTTGATGATTTCTGCACGTTTTGTAAATTTTTGCTTTGAAAGTGTACAAATAGTTTTTTTTTAGGTGTAAATGTGGATTATTTATTAAAATTACTTAATATGCTATATATTATATTATAAAAGCCCAGAGTTTTATGTAGAATATAATATAATATCTAATATATTTCTTACATAAAATATTATTTATTCAACACACATTTCATTTTTTAACTTTAACCGGTGGGGAAATTTTACTTTGCTCGCGTGCTGACGTTATAACTGGCTATATTTGGAGAAATACGAAATATCAAATGAAATTGGCTTTAAATTGTGTGCGACTATTTGTCAAAAGAGGAGACTCCACGCTCGAGAAATATCCTCTCTCTCCCAATGGTCGAATTTCTCAAATAAAATTGACTTGAAATTCCTTGTGGTAGTTGAATAAAATATTGTGTGCTACTATTGGTCAAAAGATGAGATTCCACGATCGAGGAATATCCTCTTTCTCCGATGAGTGGCACAATATACTATTTATATGTGCCTGTTTTGCATGTTATGTAAAAAATATACAAATTTGTTTTTATTATGAGGCAATATTGCATTTACTTTACTTTAACATAGATACTAGACTGCCCTAAAATAAAATAAAACCGTCATTTATGGCATTGACATTCTTTCAGCCTTAACCTTCCCTTTTACTTTTTTAAAAAGTGCAATTTATTCTGGAACGCGTTAACAAATAATCTTGTAAAAAGGTTTGCTTTCTAGGTTTTTACTTGACAGTTGTATAATATTTAGTTTTGCAATATTATGATTTTTATTAAAAACCTAAGAATTAACCCTTCCAGAGGTAGTTTATTAGAGCATGTTATTTTTAATCATGAGACATTTAGCTTAAGTTAACTATAAAAATACTGGGCATGTGGCTAATGCTTATTATATTTTCATGCAAACAGAAGCTTACAGAAGTCTGTATGGCGATAAAGGTATGTGCTTTTGCTTTCAAATTGTGTTTCTTTTTTTATTATTTTTATAATACAATGAGCTAATAAAAATTCCTCCTTTTATATTTTGAACCGCAGGATTTAGAAGTTGGAAATTTTAGTTAATACTTTTTGACGTTTACAAACAAATTTTGACAACATTTTAAAATGGCATCGTACTGTCAAAAGGTAACTTTTTTTAATGGGAAGATGGGTTATGTAACCGATAAAATATATTGTAATTAATATCAACAGCTTATTAATAATTAAATATATATTTATGTAATTTTTATATAACTCACAGATATATTTTTTTAGTGTTTTTACTTTATTTTAAAAGAAAGGAGAATAAAATAATAAGAATTTTAAATTTAAATTAATAACTTTTATTAATTATAAATAATTAAAATTATTACTATCATAATTTAAATTTGATAACAATTTTTTCTACTCCTATTACGGAATATGATCATTCTAATATCACTTTTTAAGTTGGAATGACATATATTTCTTAAAGTATTACAAAATGAATTATTCGATCATCTGATGACGGAATAAACCATAGAGTATAGTATAGTGGAATAAACACTGGTGGCGACATCTCTGTGTTTAATATCTAACAAATTTTAGACCTATCCAACCTCACTTTCTCCCAATTAAATTATTTTTCTATGGTATTTTTTGGAAACGAAGAAAAAGTATAGTCTAAAACACGTTTGGAATTGCATATTCCAAACTTGTTAAAGCATATACTATTATTAATAATATTTAAATAAAATCATTTTGTAATACTTTAAGGAATATATCTCATTTTAATTGAAAAAGTTATATTAGAACGGTCATATTCCGTAATAGAAGCAGAAAATAAATATTTCTGTCAAACGTAAACTATTTTTAATGGTTATTATTCATTTAATACTTAAATTTTACTTTTGACAGATTTTTATTTAGAAAACAGTTTATTTAAATTATTTGCAGACGATCTGTTGCGTAAATCGTTTTGTATATGGACGGCTGTTGAAAAAAGATGTTCTGGGGCAACTGAGCTTAATTAATGAGACAATTACCTTTGCGCAGGCTTTTTCAAATTAGGATATTTTTTCTCATAACGCCAATAGATCTTTGGACTCGACTTTCTTGAAATATTTGAACTTCTCAAATAAGATACCACCTCTTCTTGAGGGGCATTATGTTTAATTAAGTAAAGTAAAAAGTGTGTTGTATCGCGTAAATTTTTATGATTGTATGTATTGTATGTATGTGGTTATTTAATAAATCGTTTTGTTAAGATTTAAAAAAAACCTAATTATTTTTGGACCACAAAATTACTAAATTAATTTTGGCGATCGGCCGATATATCGGTTGAGTATCGATATCGTTACATCCACAGACCTGTGGTTACATCCCTATTCTTAGCATTAAAGGCCAAAATTGCGTGATTATGTAATTTTTTTCTTAAATCATAAACAATTGGAAAAATAAGTAGTTACATATCAGCTTTAAAAGACCTTTCGGTCTTTTAAAGCTGATATACATTTTGCATTTTTTATAAATGTGACCTTTTGGCACTACGACGACATTATACACTACTTTTTACTTGAAATTTTTTTTGTAAAATTACTTATTTTTCAGAGTATGTCCAACTTAGAACCAAAAATCGCATTTTTTGAGTTCAATTTTTACATTTACCAATATTATTTTCTTAATTTATAATTTTAGTATTACAAAAAAAACAAATTCTGTGTTTTTTAATACTAGTTATACTAAAGTTATAAAATAAAATTTTTAAAATGTAATGTAAAAATTGTACTCATAATGAACGAACACGTTCAATTCGGCGTTATTTTTACCTTTACTTATTTTTATTATATAATGATACGTTTTTATTTTCATGTGTAGTGCAATAAAACACTGTCAATTTAATGTGTTTTATAAAACAATATTTACAATATTTAGATACTATAAACAAAATGTTACCAAGAGGAAATGCGACGTATACAAGTTTCTTGGTGCTTTCAAAGACCACACAAGAAACGGAGAACTGCGTCATATTTTTTCTTATATTTAAAAAGGGCTGACTACTCAGTTTTCTCTGTAAGAGTGGCAGTCTGCTCTTGTTATTTTCAATCAGTTATTCATTAGCATTTAACCGAGTATCATCTCTGTATTAAAATAAATACATCTCATTTTATTAAGTTGTGTTTATTGAACAACGTTCCTGTTGCACCAAAATCCAGTCAACCAAATTCGCATACGGAAAATGTTTTCATGGATTAGTTTTCAAGGAAACGTACTTAAGCTCAGTACATAAAAATTGGTCCTTCGAACCGGATATAAACCAGTGACCTGTGAACTACGCAACAACATTTTAGTTCCACAAAATTAGTGTAACCGCACTAATTATCAACAAAACGAGACGTCTCGATTCCTTGCTGTCAAGGGCAATACGGTAGCCAGATACACCAGATGACACATCAACAACACATCTTATCTTCAAACTGGAAGTGCAACATAGTTAAGTGTAAAGTGTGTGTTGATGTATGCGTGAAGTGCAGTGATCGGTTTTACGAAAAACCGGCTACTTCGTCAATGCGTTTTTATAGGTGCTGATTAGCAATATTTATAATAATATCAGTCACGCATTAAATTAACGATACGAAATTCTTATATTGCAATCAAAAGCAAACCTATACACGTGTACACGAAACAAATTATACAATATACAAAAAGTGGTACCACTAAAAAGCTACGTGACTGCAGTCATGCATCTGATACGTATAATATAATATCAATCTAATATATTATATACGTTTAATATAATATCAATCTAATATATTATATACGTTTAATATAATATCAATCTAATATATTATATTACTTGTGCACAAGAACGATTTACGATACGATATTCGATTATTTACGATGCGATATTCGATTAATTTCGATACGATATTCGATTCAATATTCGATTATATACGATGCGATATTCGATTCGATATTCGATAATTAAACGAAATACATGCGAATACAAGCTAGCTTGATACGACAAATACGATTTTAATAATGCGAAAACTGTAATTAACACAATAATTACTACAAAAAGGCTTCTTTCTTAATTTTATTTATAATTAAGAAAGAGCTTGTCTACCAAGGCACTTATTCGTTTTTAACAGCTCACAAACCAGCTGATCCAAGAAGCAGCGTCTGCAACACAATTTGAAGACTACAATCATCAATCGGTAAGTGCTTTTTTAATTGAGTCACCAAAAACACATTTACATTTACATATCTGTATACACTTCTATTGTAATCTTAAAATTAATCTTTTAATTCAAAATGACCGAAATCGAACAAAGACTAAGATTACTCAAAATAAAACGTAATTCAATTAAAGATGAAATAAATCATTTACACTATTATCTAGAAAATTATAATAAAGACACACAATTCGTTGAGTTGCAAATACGCCAAAAAAGACTTGTTACTAACTTCGGAAATTTTGATCAAATTTGTGACGAAATTACTTTAATAGAAGATAACGCAGATAATTCAACCGAGAAAAATGAAATTTTGAACGATTATTTCGCTATATTGAGTAAAATTCAAGAGCTTATTTCCGGACCCTTAATGCAAAATAATTCAGACTTGATTAGCGTTCACTCGGTAAACGGATCGAGTAACTCTTTAAATTCACGTAAACGCAAACTCAAGCTACCACATGCAAAAATTCCAAACTTTTCGGGTGATCGTAGCAAATGGCTTTATTTTAAAAATACTTTTATTTCGCTAATTCACGATGACGAAGAATTATCCGACAAGGATAAATTCGCGTTACTGCAAACCGCGTGCTCGGGCGATGCTGAAAAAAAGATAATAGGTTTTCTAAATGCGGAAACCGATTATAATGATGCGTGGAAGACACTAGTTAAGGCCTATGAAAGTAAACGCTCGTTGATCGCGGAGCATTTATCAAAAATACTTAATATGCCTAAGCAAGATTGCAATGATCACAAAAGTCTGGAAAATCTTGTAGACACAGCGCGAGTGAGCATAATGGCGTTAGAAAACTTAGGTGTTAAATTATCAACCTGTCCGGAGATAGTCGTAAAAATAATCGAAGACAAGCTATCTCAGGAAACTCGCGAAAATTGGGACAAGGAATGCGAGCGCGATAAATTTCCAACTCTTGAAAAAATGCACGATTTTTTGTATAAAACCGCCGCTATGATATCAATGCGAAAACATAAGTTCTCCTCGAATAAAATCAATTATCACGATTTGCCGAATAAAACAAGAAAAATCGAATATAAACAGTCTGCTACAACCTTTGTCACAACCGCAAAAATATGTCCAGCTTGCTCTAATGAATATCACCCATTGTATAAATGCAGTAAATTTCTAGAGTCGACTGTTTATAACCGAATCAAAATTGCAGAACGGGCAAAGTTATGCAAAAATTGTTTGAGACATCATGGTCAGAGCGAGTGTCAGTTTGGAGGCTGCAAAACTTGCGGTAAAAAACACAACAACTTGCTTCACATACAAAAATCTTATACTTTACAGGACAGTCCGTCTGACAAAAGAACAGAAAACCCCCAAAACGCTTGACTAAATGATCAATGCTTGTCAATAACAAAAAATTTAAACTTATTTAATTTGATAACTAGCACTCGAGTCATAACATAAAATAATTTTAACAAACCTCACACATGCATAACTTTATTACGGCAATTTTAGCTCATAAACTTAATTTAAATAAAAAATCATGTTCACTTACAATTGGAGCTATGAATGAATTAAATACAAGTTGTATTATACAACTGCTTATTATTACACTTAATTAACTTATCAATCCATATATTCAGAATTTAAAGAATCATTAACATTTTTATTGTACCAAAAATTACCGATGCATGCAACTCCAAGCGACACGGTTCAAACTAAAATTACCGAATTTTAAAAACAGCACCGGTTGACTTGTTAATCGGGGCTAGACCATCACTTTCCTTATTTTGCACAGGTCAGATTAAACTACCGGAAAATAATTTAATATTTCAAAAAACTAAACTTGGTTGGTAATAAGCGGCGGTGTAACTACAATTAATAGCAGTACGCATTCTACATGTATGCTGACGGAATTACAATTTAATTTAGAAAAATTTTGGACGATTGAAGAATTACCGTTTGATAAACAATTAAAGTTTTCCAAAGCAGAAATAGAATGTGAAAATCACTTCAAGTCACAGTTAACCGAAATAGTGATGACAGACATGTCTTCGCGCTGCCTTTTAGATAAACAGTCACTAATTTAGGCGAAGCTAAAACTATTGCACTTAAAAAATTGACATATTTAAAAAGAACAAAAACTTTGAGGCTAAATACACTAAAACTTTAACCTTAACAAGGGCCTTTGTCTCCAATTCAAATTAAAGCTTTTAAAATTAATTCGGGTTTTTATTTAAGCCATCACGTTCTAGTAACAGAATCAAGGCCATTCCGCAAGGTAGTAGTTGACTTTTAGGAACCCTTTTTCATTAAAGAGAAAAGGCGTCGAAACACTAGGTTTCATTTAATGTTATGTCGCAATCTTTGTAGGTATGACAGTCAAAGCAGCACATATCAAAATTGCGATTTGACAACCGAATCTTTTTTAGCTGCTTTAATTCGTTTTACTTCTAGACGTGGTTTGCCAGAAGACAATTATTCTGACAACGAAACTAATTTTCGAGGCGCGCATAATAAACTCAACGAATTTGAACTTTTACGAAACAAAAAACTCAAAGCCGAAGTCGAAAAATTTGCAAGCAAACATAATGTACAATGTCATTTTATCCCTCCGCAGGCACCTAATTTCGGCGGTTTAAGTGAAATTATGGTTAAGCAATTCAACACACAATTTTAAAAGATTAGCATAAAAAAATAAAATAATGCAATTTATTACCTTTACAACACAAATCGAAGCGATTCCCAATTCGAGACCTTTAAAACAAATGTCCACCGATATATGTAAATGATTACACAGTACTCAAACCCGAACATTTTTTGATTGGTGACTCATTAAAAAGCCTACCTATACACAATCATCGACAAGTACCAATAAACCGCTTAAGTTCGTGGGAAAACATCAATAAATTAATACAAGAATTTTGAAATATAATAAATGACACAATGAATATTTGACTAATTTAAATATACGTTATAATAAACAATCGAAAGGAATTAGATTTAAAAGTAGATTTATTGGTACTAGTCAAAGATAATTTACAAAGCATGCAATGGAGCTTAGGACGAATAGAAGAAGTACATCTAGGTCAGATACAATTGTAAGAGCGGCCACAGTACATACTAAAACTAGTATTTTAAAAGGCCCTCTTCAAAATTAGCGATCCTTCCGATCTAAAGTCGATAATGTTTTATTTTTCCTCGTTAACCAAATATTGTAAAATCAATTAAATTTAAACATTGTGCAATGTTAATACACAATGACATTAATGTTATGTTACTTAAACTTATTACTATTATGTTACTTAAACTTATTTATATTTTGTTACTTAAACCTATTAATAGTATGTTACTTAAACTTGATCGTTACTCTCTCAAGGGGGGGAGTATGAACGAACACGTTCAATTCGGCGTTATTTTTACCTTTACTTATTTTTATTATATAATGATACGTTTTTATTTTCATGTGTAGTGCAATAAAACACTGTCAATTTAATGTGTTTTATAAAACAATATTTACAATATTTAGATACTATAAACAAAATGTTACCAAGAGGAAATGCGACGTATACAAGTTTCTTGGTGCTTTCAAAGACCACACAAGAAACGGAGAACTGCGTCATATTTTTTCTTATATTTAAAAAGGGCTGACTACTCAGTTTTCTCTGTAAGAGTGGCAGTCTGCTCTTGTTATTTTCAATCAGTTATTCATTAGCATTTAACCGAGTATCATCTCTGTATTAAAATAAATACATCTCATTTTATTAAGTTGTGTTTATTGAACAACGTTCCTGTTGCACCAAAATCCAGTCAACCAAATTCGCATACGGAAAATGTTTTCATGGATTAGTTTTCAAGGAAACGTACTTAAGCTCAGTACACATAAAATGCGATTTTTTTATTCTAATTTCGGTCATACCCTGTATCTGAAAAATAAGTAGTTCGTTTTAATCAGCACATCCCCATTCCCATTTAAAAAAATGTGAACTTTTGAGTACGACGCCATTTTTGAAAATTTTCCCAATTTTTTTTAAGTAAAAAGTGGTATTTAATGACACTCTAAAATTTCCAATTTCTAAATCCAGTGGTTTAAAAAAAGGGGTATTTTTACGCGGTCACTGTGTCCATTATCTAGAATCATAATTTTATTTTTTCTGTTTTTTGAACTTTTTTGTACTGTATTTTTTACTCTTTGTAGTTATTTTTTAACATTGTTAAGCAGTTTGTAAAAAATTAATTAATATTTATAAATTGTTAAAAAATTATGTTTGTGATATTTTTTGGGATTTTTTTTTGCGAAAATAAAAATTGTTCATGTATTTTATTAACATTTCATTTTTTAGAATGCTGCAATTTCTGATGGAAAGGAGGACCTTAGCGACCTTCCTCCCAACCAAAGGCGGAAAAAGCTTCTACAAAAAATCGAAGACCTGAAAGTTAAAGTGGCTCAAGAAACTGCGGCACGTGACGGCCTTATGAAGATGAAAACGGTATACGAAGCAAATCCTGCATTAGGAGATCCAATGTCGATAGAAGGTAATATTATAATATTTTTAAGACGCATAAATGATTAAAGATCCGAATTTCTTCCCTAACATAGCCTGATCTTTTAGATGATTTTTCAGTTTTATTAGTATGATGGGTGAATAAACATAAAGTAACAATTCCATTTCCACCTATTTTTCTCTAATAAGACTTAAAACGTCTTACAGCTTTTTTTAAATTTAAATTTGAAAACATTACATTTTTAATATGTTACGTTACTTGTTTGTATATAAGAAACTACCCAGGTAAAAATTGTGATTTCATGTGCACTCACTCACTACATGATATAGGCAAGAGAGGTTCAGGACCTATTAGCAGTTTTGTCACATTTTAGTCTGGATGAAAGTAGTATGAAACTTGCGAAACCGGTTGTACGAGATTTTGATATAGGCAAGATAGGTACAGGACCTATTAGCAGTTTTGCCACATTTTGGTCTTGATGGAAGTAGTATGAAACTTGCGAAACCGGTTGTACGAGATTTTGATATAGGCAAGATAAGTTCAGGACCTATTAGCAGTTTTGCCACATTTTGGTCTTGATGGAAGTAGTATAAAACTTGCGAAACCCTTTGTATGAGATTTTGATATAGGCAAGATAGGTTCAGGACCTATTAGCAGTTTTGCCACATTTTGGTCTTGTTGAAATTAGTATAAAACTTGCGAACCCGGTTGTACGAGATTTTAAAATGGGCAAGATAGGTTCAGGACCTATTAGCAGTTTTGCAACATTTTGGTCTTTTTGAAAGTACCTAGTATGAAACTTGCGAAACCGTTTGTACGAGATTTTGATACAGCCGAGATAGGTTCAGGACCTATTAGCAGATTTGCCATATTTTGGTCTTGATGGAAGTAGTATGAAAATTGATACAGGCAAGATAGTTTCAGGACCTATTAGCAGTTTTCCACATTTTGGTCTTGATGGAAGTAGTATGAAAGTTGCGAAACCGGTTGTACGAGATTTTGATACAGGCAAGATAGTTTCAGGACCTATTGCAGTTTTCCAACATTTTGGTCTTGTTGAAAGAACCTAGTATGAAACTTGAGAAACCGGTTGTACGAGATGTTGATACAGGGAAGGTAGGTTCAGGACCTATTAGCAGTTTTGCAACATAATGGTCTTGATGGAAGTAGTATAAAACTTGCGAAACCGGTTGTACGAAATTTAATAAATTTAGTTTGAGAGATTTATCCTATATCATTTTATTTGATATTGCTAGAGTTAACCCTCCGGCGAAATTAACTAATTTATTTCTTAGCATTTTACACCTACGCCGCTGTCCGTCTAGGTATGCTCAAATTACTATATTTGGTGATCGCTTTTTGTTGCCACTTCTCAATTAGTCTGAATCTAGCCGTTAAGTGGTAGGTGTCAATTTGCGGTATACAACACATGCCTTTATCCACGAATGGAAGAAGATTAATGTAAACTCTTGTAGAGTTTAGGGAATGTTGAGGGTAGTTAGGTAGATGTGAATGATAGGCTGGTTGTGGTTGAAAGAGAGAGAGTTTTATTAAATTAATTCCTATTTATACATAATTCTAATGTGACGTAGCAACTAGATAATTTAAACAATGTGCAAATATGCAGTTTTATCGGCGATGACCGATTAATTAGGTACTGATTTTGTAGGCTCAGCACCTTTGGGTCGGTCACCGCCTCGAAATATTAAATTATTTAAATATAAAAAAATTAAAATAATAAAAAAATTGTAAAATATGTTTAGTTTTGCAGCATAAAATGCCGCGGTGCGACCGCTGATGTAATTTTAAAAGGCGCGCCTGCCGGAGGGTTATTTTAGCTGATTTTAATTTTTGAAATATTTAGGACAACTGAATGAGTGCTATCAGAGGCTGGACAAGTTCCAGAACGAGCTGAAACGGCACCAGGGCTACCTGGAGGACGCGATGAAAGGAATCCAGTCGGGAGGTGGCGGACAGAACAACTCGCTGACAAACTCCCCCAGGTTAACGAACGGCGCGCGGCGCCACAGGAATTCGGGCGGCAGCGCCGCCGAGGAGGAGTCCCTCAGCAGGTCTGCGAGCGACAGTAGCGTCACGAATCCCACGCTGAACCATAACAAACAATCGGCACCCGGCACACCTCAGCTTAACAATCACGGGTGGGTGGGTGGTTAAGGTGGACAATAGTTCGTAAGAGTAGTAGCGGCAGTTACTAACTGCTTCTTGATTTTAACTATAGTCCAATTAAAATTTAGTTCTAGTAAACGTCAAGGAAATCAGTAGAGTAAAACGCGCACTTAGAGCAGTGGCGGCTGGTGGATTTTATTTATACCAATATTTCAGTTATTAGACATGGGACCCACACCAAATTTATAATAGTTTACATTAAATAAACAAGTTAACCGCGCAAACAGAATTTAAATTGAAGTTTGCGAAATAAAGTTAGTTTTTCCTGTCGCCTCACCCGCCTCCAGGCCCCCTATTTGAGGTAATTCAAATTAAAGTGGTGCAATTTATTATCTACTATAATTGACGCGTTCCTCGGAAAAACATCATTAGTCCAAAATTAACATATTTGGGAAAATTAAAAAAACTTTCCGACATTCCCATTTTTGACCAAAGTACTTTATTGACCTATTTACTACATGTAAAAAATGTAAGATACTTTGTCCAGAATTCCTCATGTTTTTTTTTTCAAACAAATATGAAAAAAACACAAAAAATACATGAACATGTGAGGTTTTTAGAAGACAAAAACGAACAATTCTCCTTACTACAAACACTACAAACTAAATATTAACTCTGAGCAACAAAATAATTGAAAAAACTAAAAACTGTATTATGGCCACACTCAGTATTCGCATCCACTGCTGTTAGACAACGATGATATCATCGTTGTCGACCGTGTTATAGTTGAATTTTTAAGTCATGAGCCCTACGGCAACAATGTCAAGCAACTGAATCAAATCGAGGGCAAAATCAGTGGCGTATCGTGGAGTTTTATTTGGGGTTCGAAATGTTGTATACGTATGCAGTCCATTATACACTTTTGTGCTTTGGGTTGCGAATCAAAATATGAGAATCGTATTTTGCCTGGCTTAAACCATATTATGATTCGTTTTAACTTAAATCCTTCATTTGAACGTGCAAATTTATTAAAACAGTAACTCTTATGTAATTATATTATTAAATGAAACGTTGTAATTTATATATATTAAATTATTGTAATTTTAAATTATATAGTTTGTGTTACCCATTCTGCGTGGAGAAAATTAAGGGTACCTATTCTACTACTAAAAAATTCCCTAATTAATTTGGAAATATTAATATTTATATAATGCACAATGGTTAAGATATTATTTTATATAATCATTTAGTTGTGGAGATTGCACACACCAATAAGCTCAAATGGAGACAAAAATGGGACGTCTAATTTTTGTTTAATAGTAAAATGCAATATACTCTGAAAAAAATTGGTTTATTTAATAATTTAATGATAAATGCTCTTAACTGCATTAAAAGGATCTATTTTCATCTATTAATATGTTAATATTTATATACAGGGTGTTTCATAATATATGCGCAGGACTTCAGGATGTGATAGCTCATCCAAAAAGATGAAAAAAGTCGCTATTAACTTACCCTCTAAAATGCACAATTTTCGAGATACATGGTGTTGAAATTTTAGAAAAAAAATCGTTTTTTTTCGAATATCTCCGGAACCGCTTATCGTACAAAAAACAGCTTTTGTAATCATTTTCTACTCAAAATAAGCTATGTTTTGTGCCAGAAAAAAAAATTTTTTTACTCATAATTGGTGGAGATTTTGAAGGGGTAGCGGGTGTTTTTCTCCTCAACTTCTACGCCCCTGAAAAATGTACGGTTTTGAGAAGCCTATTCGAACCGCCAATATTTTCTACACAAAAAAGGTACTCTTGGTCATAAGCTCTAAAGTTGACCGTTTTCAAGAAAAATCAACTTTTATGTTTAAAAACATGGTCAATTTAAAAAAAAAAAAAAAAATTTTTACTAATTAAACAAAATTTATTTTAACGTTAGAACAAGTAACAAAACCGAACCATAATTGCAAAATAAAAAATGATTCAAAAGTTGTCTTTGCTAAATTCTCCAAACCGTAAAGGTAACGCATTTCGAACATTTCAGCATTTGTGTGAAAAATCATTTTTTATTTTTTTTTTAATTTTGCTATTATCGTTTGGTTTTGTTACTTTTTCTAACGTTAAAATAAATTTTGTTTAATTAGTAATAAATTTTTTTTTTTTTAAATTGAACATGTTTTTAAATATAAAAGTTGATTTTTCTCGAAAACGGTCAACTTTAGAGCTTATCAAAAAGAGTACCTTTTTTGTGTAGAAAACATTGGCGGTTCGAATTGGCCTCTCAAAACCGTACATTTTTCAGGGGCGTAGAAGTTGAGGAGAAAAACACCCGCTACCCCTTCAAAATCTCCACCAATTATGATTAAAAAAAATTTTTTTTCTGGCACAAAGCATAGCTTATTTTGAGTAGAAAATGCTTACAAAAGCTGTTTTTTGTACGATAAACGGTTCCGGAGATAATCGAAAAAAACGATTTTTTTTCTAAAATTTCAACACCCTGTATCTCGAAAATTGTGCATTTTAGAGGGTAAGTTAATAGCGACTTTTTTCATCTTTTTGGATGAGCTATCACATCCTGAAGTCCTGCGCATATATTATGAAACACCCTGTATAAGATATCTTAATCGCTGTCATCTTCCGATTCATCGTCGTTGACGTTATCAATGTGGATTATCATTTCATGACCATGATCATCGTCCAAGATTCTTTCTTTATTGTACCATTCCTCTATAATTTTTTCAGTGTGTGCTATTTTTGACTTCCATGATTCTGGAGTACCTTTTTGTAATGCCCGTTCCCACATAGTAAGCACTTTATCATTGCCATATGGCAATGTAGCCATCTTCACCAATATGTTTATTATAATAATCCTTTGCATCGGCCCATACCATTTCAATTGCGTTAAATTGACAATGGTACGGAGGCAATCTTAAAGCTTCATGTCCATTTTCTTGTAGCAATTCATCAACCTTATATCGTATTGGTTTTTTATGTTTCTTGGCTAAATTTAAAAGCTGTACTTTGAACATATCATTATTTAATGGTATATTATTTTCTTCCAACCATTCCTTAATTTTGTTTTTAGTCCATGAAACCGTTGGTTGTTTTTCCATTAAGACGCTATGGTAAGACGCGTTGTCCATTATAATTAGAGAAGGTTCCTGTAAATTTGGGATGAATTGTTCTTGCATCCATTTCAAAAATATTTCTGAGTTCATATCACCATGATAATCCGCCAGTTTGGACCTCGTGGAGTAAACCAATGCGGCATCGCGAATAAAACCTTTTTCATTACCAGCATGCAACACAATGAAACGTTTTCCATCATAACCTTCTGGTTTGCGTACACTTTTTGTGGATGAGTCTTGCCAGGATCTTGTATGGCTTCCTTTAGCAAATATCCAAGTTTCATCTAAATTTAAATTCGCAAAATATGGAAAATATTAAAAAATTCAAATACACCAATGATGACAGGCTGTCAAAGTCTTGTAGACATTTGTGCATTTAGCTATCTTTGTCGATCCCATTATTATAAAAATATAAACATAAAGAACGTATTTTGTGGTATTATTAGACATACGTTTATCTATCGCTATATGCTACGTCCCAGTGGTCCTGCGGCGTGGAAATACAATACGAATGTCTGAGCTATATCCTTACATATGTCACGTGAGGGTCATGATTAAAAAACCAAACTATATCAGGACTATCAGGTGCTATGGTCTTCTGGTCTTTTATCAAGTTATCATAAAATTTTCTATTGCTGTGGTCATGTAAAAGAGGTAGAAGCTTTTCTAGAGTGTCCAAAAACGTCACATGTTATGCACATGTGACTTTCTTAGACGAAACGGAGTGGACTTGTGATGTTTTTAGAAGACCAAGCTAAATTTCATATTTAATTATTATGGAACCTATGACATTTTTACGAGAAACACTTATTTGTATACGTATATATGGAGGTTAGGAAACAGTTGGTGCTAATATCTAAATTTCGACGATATTGGACTAATTATGTTTTTCCGAGAAACGCCTCAATTTATCGACAATTTTAAAATTTTATTTAAAAAATCCAAATATTACAGGTTTTATACCATTAAAACAATATTAAAATAAAAAAATATTTAAAATGGTATAAAACCTGTAATATTTGGATTTTTTAAATAAAATTTTAAATTTGTCGATAAATTATAGTAGATAATAAATTGCACCACTTTAATTTGAATTATCTTAAATAGGGGGGCCTGGAGGCGGGTGAGGCAACAGGAAAAACTAACTTTTTTCGCAAACTTCAATTTATATTCTGTTTGCGCCGAACTTGTCTATTTAATATCATTATAAACTATTATAAATTTGGTGTGGGTCCCATGTCTAATAACTGAGATATTGGTATATATAAAATCCACCAGCCGCCACTGACTTAGAGTTTCTATCACAAAAATGCTACTATTTTTGCGACAGAAAATTTCTGCGCGTGTTTTCCGCGAAATCATGGTTTTGTGGCTTAACTCGTTTGACTTTTACTAGGACTATATATAAAAATTCGACTGGTTAGAGTATGTTTTAAAGGAGCACATAGACTTGCTTACAAATATTCTGATATTTTGGGCATTTTATAAAATAGTTGATATTTTCTCACAAAAATGCATTTTGAACTATAAAATTTTTTCGATTAAATTGAAATTTTTAAGTGATGATAAAAAAAATTACCTAAATATATATTTTTTAATTTTGTGGAGATTTTCTCTACATGAAAATAATGAATCAGTAAAGATTTTTTAGTGATTATTTTTCGAATTTTGACGATATTTTTTTTTTAACTTTTTCGTTATTATTTTTTGTATGTAAATAATGTTTTATGAAATATTCTTAGCTTTTCAATGAAAACATTTATTCTTTATTATAAGTAACAGAAGATCCTTAAAAATTCAATTTTTCTGGCCTTGCGGCTAATTTTGTTTGAAGTTTGATATTTTTTTCAAATAAGTGAGAATTTTGTTTCCATAAAATATGTAATTTTCACGATGGGGTTAATTTTTGTT